GAGAGAGAGAGAGAGAGGAGGACAAGAGAGTGACAGAAGAGGGGAACAAGAGAGACATATAGGAGGGATCTAGACAGAGTTCTAGGAGGCAGACAGGAGAAAGATAGAGGAGAGGAACAAGAGAGGGATAGAGAAGGGGGAGCAGAGACAGGAGGTGGAGCAGAGAGTGATAGGCAAAGAGGAGAGAGAGAGAGAGAGAGAGGAGGGGGCCAAGAGAGAGACAGGGGAGGGAGATGAGAGGAATAGAAGAGGGGGAAAAGAGAAGGAGAGAGAGTAAGGGGACAAGAGAGAGACAAAGGAGGGCAACAAGAGGAGATACAGGAGGGGAACAAGAGAGTGAGAAGAGAGTGATAGAGGAGGGGCACAAGAGAAGGATAAAGGAGAGGTACAAGAGAGGGATAAAGGAGAGGGAGGAGAGAGAGACAACATAGACAAAGAGACAAAGGAAGGATCAATACAGAGAGAGAGGAGGGGGAGAAGAAAGATAGACAAATAGGAAAAGAGAGAGATAGCGGAGGGGGCCAAGAGAGGAAGGGTAAGAGGCAGAGGAGGGGGACAAGGGAGAGATAGAGGTGTGGAACAAGGAAGAGATAGAAGAGGGGGAGCAGAAGAGACATAAAGGAGGGGGACAAGAGAAAGATACAGGAGAGGGACAAGAGAGGGATAGAGAGGGGGACAAGAGAAAGAGGCGGGAGACAAGAGAGGGATAGAAGAGGGGCATAAAAGATAGATCAAGCAGGGGGACAAGACAGAGGGAGGATGGGGAAGAGAGATAAGAGCGTGGGGACAAGACACAGAGAGCAGGGACAAGAGAGAGAGAGAGCGAGAGAGCAGGGACAAGAGAGTAAGATAGAGAAGGGGGCCAAAACAGAGATAGAAGGGGGACGAGAGAGAAATCTTTCTGGTGCTCTGGGTAAGGATGGGTGATTTCTGTGTACTAGTCAAGCGTCTAGATTGGAAGCTCTTACCTAAGTACTTCAGAAAGGCTTCAGGTCTCCCTGCTTAGGATCAAGACACACAACTATCAGCATGGATCTGTTCCCCAGGAATACAGCCTTTCACAAACTGCTCCAGTGTGGCTCCTTCCAATGGGCTGCACTCCTTCCCAAACTGCTCCAGCACAGATTCCCCCCTCTGATTTTTATATTGCAGAGGAAAGGAGAGTTCCAAGTGCTCTGGAGTCAGTGGCTGCTGATTGAATTGCCCTCCACTGCCAAGGGAAGCATTTACATTACATTATCTGTGGACAGACCTTTGCCTTGCAAACCTCTTTTATCACAGCAGCTCTGGACACTGGCTCTGGGGGGGTTAAAGCTCAGATGGAAATCCTGGCTCCCCACTGGTTCCCCCCATCCTCACCCAGAAGCAACAAGTGGATTTCTGTGGTCCTGGGTGAAACACTCGGGGACACAGGATCTGCCATCAGCTCGGGTAAAATGAAATACCCCCGAGATGTGATAGGTCCAATCTCCTTGTCCAGTGCCCCCAAGACAGGTCGGGAACATCCATGGGAAAACATTTCAGCAAAACAGAAAAATAACCTCCCTGGAGTAAGGCAATGGCTCTGTACTTGGAGACTTCCTTGTATCATTTGACTTTTTATGGACTTCAGTGAAAACTCTGCCAACTAAAGATCAGAGTGAGCCATAGCTGATGTGCATTAAAAAAACACAAACGAACATAAAATGCAATAAACAAATATAAGAACAACAACAAATCCCTGCTTGGTTTCACTTTAGTTTCCACAAGTGAGGAGAAAAGACAACTGGCTGTTGGTGACTGGAACCAGAGGGTCCAGCTGTTCACCTCATGCACTGATGACTAGGCATGTCCTTTTCTCTCTGTCCCTGAAAAAGGGAACACTGGAAGTGCAGATTTCTGCAGTGTTTAAGCTTCCCGATTAGGACACTGAAGAACCCAGCAGCCTGACTAGGTTCTGGACTGGTTCTATTTCGATGCCTGCATTACTGATGTGAGCAAAAGGACTTGAAATACTTGGAGAGCTGTTAGTCCTTCTAAGAAAGAAAAGAACAGTTGAAGATTTCTTGATGTATCCTCTTTGTCATTTAAACCGTTTGCCAGGGGCTCCTGCATCTGTAATTTCTGAGAGCATTGCTGGTTCTCTGCCACTTATTATGACCCTTGTGCTGCTTCTTCGCTCTGCACTTATCTGGTAGTGCAAGAGGCCTGCTCATTCTGTCCTTGAGTGAATCAGTGAAAAGGCATCACTCCTGTCTTGCTGACTTGAAAGGCATTTGTTGTTTAGTCTTCTGTAGAGGGGAAAAAGAGGGACTGTTCCCCACAACAGGTTACTAGTACAGGGAGATAAAAAAGTCACTTCTGCATCGATGAAGAGTCTGAGAAATTACCCAGTAACTTTACCTGAACCATCAGAGTCTACTCTATGGGGTTATTATTCCCCTCAACAGCATGAAGTTTTAAATATGTGCTCACATTTCTGCCACAGGTGTAAATGCAAGATTTGTGGAGAAAAGCACAATTTTATTAGACCAGTGGTTATAGCTCATCCCTCACTTATACTTCTGCACTTTTTGCCACCCCGTACGTGTTCATATGTGAAAAACATGTTCACAAACCATGTAATTTATTAGTCCTGAAACATGATAGGGGAAGAAGAGAAACTAAGAGTGCAGCAGTTAATTTTATCTGATACTTCTATTCCGTCCATGCCTTTTATTTTTCTAGCTTGTTTTTCATACGTACTGTGTCACTTGTCCTTACAGATCAGAGTGGAGCAGTTAGACAGATTGTTCAGTGAACGACGTTTTCCATTATTAACTGCATGTTTCTACCCCTGAGTGTTAGCAACAGAGGATTATTTCTGCTGTGTCATTAAGGTTAATATATATAGTTCCATAAAAGCAGTTGATGTACCAAATAAAATAAAACATATCATGAAGAAGTTTGTATGTAGCATCTGTAGATTTTAGTGATTCTACTGGAGTTCTGTTGTGGTGAGTTTGAAGATGTACAGGGAGATTTAGTATTTGCTGCCAAGGCAGCTCCTGCCTCCACCTGGCACACACTGATGCTGGTCTGCTGGGAAGCTACTTGCAATGACTGAATTAGAAAAGGTGGCTGAGAAAATTTCTTTTCAAGTCCGATTCTCCTCCAGTACACCTTCTAACTGTTGGAAGATCTGCACAGACTTCAGGCTAGTAAAACGTGCAACAACCAGAGAAGCCAAAGAAGGTAGGGGTATACTTCTGCTCCACAATTTTTATGTGATACTTCAGAAACTTAGAAGAAATAAATCTGTATCTACATATTTCACGACTATGAACAGTCCTATTGACTGAAGTTCTCTGCAGGCTTTTAAGAAAGATACTGTGACTGTTCCACTCAGAATAAATGTGCAGCTCTGCACTCGTCTGGGTTTTTTGGTACATTTTGAACAGATTTTGGCTTTGTGCATGTACGTGTCTTTAGATTACGCTTTGTAACAATAGGTACAAGTGTAATTCCTAGGCTTTAAAAATTCAACCTGCATTTATTGAAGAAAAAGTCATTGCAATGACACGACTACAATATGCAGTACTTTCAGAGGTATGCACAATGTTTCAGCCAGATTCAAACTGAACTAAGGCAAACGGTCCAGGGCAGTAATGACTGAAACAAAGCACAGAGTGGTAGTTTTATCTTTACTTCTTCAAATGAGGAGAGGATGCTTTTCTGCGAAATATATGTAAGCCCAGTTAGTCTGACAAAATGTAAAGAGATCCTGGTAAAATTTAATTACATACATATATATGAAGAGGTCAGACTAAATGATCATAAGATAGTATAGCCAAACAGTATTACAGATAAAAATGTAAAATAACACTCATATTAATGGTTTAAATACAAATTGCTGAAGTGTTACTTACAAGAAAATTGAAATGAGGAAAAGACTGGATCTCCCTTTTATGTCCCAGTCCCTAACTGGTCCCTAACAAGTCCCTAACTTGTAAACTTCCCTTGCTTGGCAAAGATAAACAGTTTAAAAAAATGCCCTTCCTTTGGGTTTTCTAAAAATCAACAATCAAACAGAGAAATAATTATCTACTTATTTGTAAGCAAAAGCTACAATACATGCTAATCCTCCACCAAACATGACAAGGTGTAAGATCAGCTTTGAAACTGTAGGAAAATAGGCCTCATTAGATCCATTGCTCATGGACTTAAGTGTATTTCGGTCATGCTTACAATTGCAGCTCATCCTCTGTCAAATGGAAACTCAACTGTACTGACTTCCCCCTGAAACTGTGGGATCTCTGTATCATCTTCATTGAGGCTCTTAATTTTTGCTATTATTCTGCCAACGACATCAATTCCAGTGTGGTTGTGTTCATCCTGTAAGTAAAAAAGACAAAACAGCTAGTTTGGAAAATTAACTGAAGTACATCATCCATGTGTACTCCACATACTGCACTGGGTTTACGTGGCAAGGTGCTGGCAGTGGGGGGCTGCAGGGGGGCCCCTGTGCTGGACATGGCTGGTTCCAGCTGGCTCCAGTTGACCGGTCACAGTGCACAGCTGAGCCCCTCACCCAAAACAACAGTTCCTCTGCAAAAACGTATTTACAAAAGGGCAAAAATGCACAGGTAGAGATAAGAGGAAAAAATAAAAGAAACAGCAGAGGGAACACCAAGATGAGAGAAGGCAGAGGGTGGAAGGTTCCCCTGCAGCCCATGGGGAGGCTGCAGAGGAGCAGGTATTTCCCTGCAGCCCATGAAGGAGCCGTGGTGGAGCAGACACCCATCCACAAGGCAGTCCATGCAGGACTCCACGCTGCAGGAGGTGGCTATTTCCAGAAGGACTGCAGCCTGTGGAGAGGGCTCATGCTGGACCAACGAATGAAGGACTGCCACCCTCCACTGTGGAGGAACCCACACTAGAGCAGGAAAACTGAGGAGGAAGTAGCAGCAGAGAGGAGCTGTTCTGGACTGACTGTAACCACCACTGCACATCCCCTGTGCTGCCTGGGGAAGGGTAGAGGAGTCTGGAGCAAAGCTGAGCCTGAGAAAGGGTAGGCTGGAAGGTGCTGCTTTCCTTTTTTTTTTTTTTTCTTATTACTCCAATCTGTTTTAATTGGCAATAAATTAGTTTTTCACAAGTTAAATCCATTTTGCCTATGGCAAATGATGTCCTTGTATCTCTGTGAAAGTTCAAAGTTCAGGTCACCTTCCTTTTTTTGTAACACAAGATTTCTAAGATAAACTGTCTTCTAGAGGAAAAGTCATGCACGCAAACACCTGCTCTGTTTGTGTGTGTATATCTATGTTTTCCCACTGCCACCTGTTCTTGAAACATTATTTTCCTGTGGCAACAAGAAACGGGTTTCAATTGAGACGTTCAACGGAAAGGACTGCACGTTTAGTTCTGTTCATCTGTTTCTAAACAAAACAAGATGCCCCTGTCATATACTGGAAATCACTGATTTACAATTTTTTGGGGTGAGTTAATCTGCACAGTGATAGCAGCAATGCCTTACAGCCAAATTCAACACACTTTTAGCAGTCTTACAGGTTTCCCTAACCTTACAGCCAAATTCAACACACTTTTAGCAGTCTTACAGGTTTCCCTAACCTTACAGCCAAATTCAACACACTTTTAGCAGTCTTACAGGTTTCCCTAATTATGATTTTGTATTTAAGTATAGTTACCATTACATGGAGCTATAAATCCTGGACCAGCGTACGGCGGTAGGAGTTCAAACACTGGAAACTGCTGGAGTAGCTGGTAGAGAATCGGGTCACAAGCGCACAGGGTCATTAGGTACATCTTCAACTATAATCTAGCAGAAAACGAGGAAGAATAAAACAAAATAAAATAAAGACTGATATAATCCAGTGCAATTCACCTGCACACACGGGTTGCTCAAAAAATACGGAAACAAACGCATGTGAAATTTACTGACAATCTTGAAATAAATTAGCACGACCATAAAACAGTTCTACTAGGTTGTGAATCATGCAGCTGTTATACCACAAAATTTCTGCTTAGTTTTACAAGTTAATGAAAACCCATTTTGATAACCAACAGTTGGAAATCAGTAATTAAAAAAATACAATTTTTGCAAAGCTTGCAAGTGACAATATTTGCATTCAGAATCAACAAAGTGTTATAATATTTCTCCCAGAGAATTGTGTGTTGCATGTTCTTGGCTACATGTAATTAGTTACAGATTCAAACCTGG